TAATCCATTACTGACTCAGCAAACCCCAGCCTCCCACTCCTTCCCGCCCTCCAAAGGCTTCCTATGGCCCATGGAGTCAGGGGCTCCCATGTCTTACACGGTCTGGCCCATGTCCTCATCTCCAGGCTCTGGGTGGCACTCTCTCCTTCACTCCACTCTCTCCCGCCACCTTTCTTTGAGTTTCTCAAACATACCGGAAGCTAGTTCCAACCTCAAGGCTTTCTATCTGGAACATTGTCCCTCTCTGTCTGCCCATGCATAATTTCCATTCATCCTTCAAGTCTTAAATCACCTCCCCAACCCCCCCTCCCCCACTGTTCTAAGACTGTCCCTTGCCCTTTTCTGTCTTAGCTATGACAACATTTTCCTTTCTTTACTCGGTATCTATCCGTTCTTCCTATTCCCACGAGACTGGAAGCCCGACAAAGACAGGGGTTACATCGACTTTGCTCACTGCTGTTTCTTTAATATCTAGGCCAGGGAGGGCCACAGCAGGCATTCAGTACATATGGACCGTTTTACTACTTAATAGATGAATGGATGTAAATAAATTTTATATCAATGGGATGGTGCTACCTCTATCAACTCATTTTTCCCCCACGTAATAAAATAGCACAAACACCTTTCCATTGCAATACATTTGGATCTGTATTATCCTTCATGTCTCACGTGCTATTCTATTGTCTGGTTGTGACATTATTTACTGTCTCATATCCTTATTGATGGGCACTTATGGTTTTACATCTAGGATGTTATAAACAGTGGTTTTAATCAATCATGTGTATCTACATTTCCTTTGAGTAAATTCCCAGAAGTGAAATTTCTGGGTCAAGAAGTGTGCACATTTTATAACTTTATATTCTCACACAAAAAAGGAAAATTTCACCAGGTATGACTTTGGGTCTGGAAAGCTGTTTGGTTCATTGGCAGGGGTGGCAGGTGATATATGGAACACAGCCAGGACAGGCAGGGCGGTGCCTGGGTGTGGGGAACTGATATAGGGTTAAGCCTCGGACTGACCTGCTGGCAAAGTCACAAACAAGTCCCAGCTTAGAGGGCACAGTCCTCTTAGCATAATTAGGCTTGACCTTATAACACTCCCTAGATCTTATCTGGGAATCTAATGGGCTAAGGAAGTGCAGGAAATATAACCATGGTGTAAACAAGTGAAACTCACAAGAACAGTGTAACTATGGTAACCACTACCTTGTTTACCGCTCACTATAAAAGCTTGGTGAGACCTGAGCACAGGGCAAGTCCTTCCTCTTGAGTTGGACTTGCCGCCTGGTCCCCCAATATTCCCAAATTATCTCATGTCTCTTCTTTTTCATTTGTTGTGCGGCTCCTCTTCCAGACCCGAACCCTGAATCACGCAGGGCGTGGAGGGAAACACTTACGACACCTGGGGAATGTGGACCCAGAGAGGGGAGCTTGGCCTGGAGATGGATAAAGTGAGGGAAGTTGATTCCATGACACCCCCCCCCGGCCCCCCGCAAAACAAATAAATCAGTAAATGTGACATATGACTCAGGCAGTAAGGACTGCAAGGGAGAAATTAAAGGCGAGGAACAGGCTTCTTTAAGAGGCTGTGTGTGGGGATGTGGGGGAGGCATCTATTCTGGAAGGTCCCTGACTCCTAGGCTGGGCCGGCTGCTCTGAGCCACTCCGGTCTCACAGCCCATGGGCTGGGCCCCAGTGCTCACAGGGGATGGAAGGATCTGAGTCTCAGTCACGCTGCTCCCAGGACTAAACACAAGGGAACATTTATCGAACTTCTTGGAAATAACATGAAATACAGCAAAATCAACTGAAAAGGAAATGAATTGGTAGAATGTCAGGTGATCCCCATGGACCAGGTTGGGTCGCATAGGCCAGGTTGGGTCGCATGGACCAGGTTGGATCTGCATGGACTAGGTTGGGTCACATGGACAAGGTTACCATCAGGGAAAACCTGCCATGATGAATCTCCTCTGAGCAAGGGAGAGGGGACCCTTAGTACTTCTTCACGGAGGAAAGGGGCTCTGAGGGGGGATGCAGCTACAGAACGCA